CTGAGTACGTTGTCCGTAGTGATAGGACCCCGGCCTTCGTTGGCGTACAATATCAATCTTCTCGGCGTGCGACATGATTTCGTTGAAGTTCGAGATCCCACGTAGGAGAAGTTCTTGCGAGATTTCCGGCTTCAAGCCGCTGACGTAGAGATCCGCTTTCTCTTCTTCGTGCACGTAGCCGACCTATTCGCATAGCGCGAGAAAACCGCTAGTGTAGTCTTGAACTGACCCACTTTGTCGCCAAATGCGCAGCTTCTGGCGTGCTGAGATCGAAGCCGCGATTGGCTCGAAGCGCGCCCATAGCCCTGCGCACCACACATCCCACATGTGGTATTGGGCAACTTCATTAATGTGTTGTACCCCATATGGAGTGCCCCACTATAGCCTAATGAACACAATTGCAATTTGACACAACCCCATAGGCTAAGTGGGGGATAACAAGATGGTCACAAGACCAGTCAAGAGAGCTCAGGGTGGATCTCAAGATCACCACGCAGTCCGAGCACAGGCAAGCGGCCACAAGGCCAGTTCACATGCATAGTTATAATAGCAAAAGCAGTACACTGATCACAACCTAGCAAGTAAAAACAAACAGGTATACATATATATAGCAGCGTACAACAAGGGCAAAGCTAGATCAAGAGACAAGCAGGTGAGACAGAGTGGGCACAAGCCCAAGAGCAGTGCAGAAACGCTGATGATCACCAGACCTGAGGGCCTTGGTGAAGACATCAGCAGTGTTGGCCTGTGAGGCCATGTACGCAAGACGAAGCTGACCACGCTGCTGTAACTCGCGTGCGAGAAAGTAACGAAGCGCAATGTGCTTCTATCTGTGCTCCAGCCTCTGCTCCCGACATAAGACACAATTGCAATTTGACACTTTGTACATTCACATTCTAGTCATCTCTTTTCACATTATAACGTGGTATCATCAGTATATTAGAATTGTCGCTTCCGCCTCGCCTACTCTCACCTACCCCTAGTGCCCTCTCGACCCTCTTCTCTAGCGCACCCTTTAGTGGCCCTCCCAGTCTCGCCCCTTAGCACCCCGCTAGTGCGCCCCTTCTCCTCCCCCTACCCTCCTCCCTCCCCCCCCCCCCCCCCCCCCCCCCTGTCGCGCCCCTCCCGTAGAGGCCCCATCGCCCCCTCGTCGCCCCTCCCGTAGAGGCCCCGTCGGCCCCCAGTCACGCCTTCAGAAGAGACCCCGTCAACTCCTCATCGTGCCCCTCCCATACAGGCCCCAACGGCCCCCCGTCGCCCCTCCTATAAAGGCCCCGTCTTCTCCCAGTCGCGCCTCCCGTAGACGCCCCGTCAGATCCCCCCGTCGTGCCTCCCATAGAGGCCCCGTCCCCCCCCACCCCTCCCCCCCCCTCTCCCTCCCCCCTCCTCCCCCCCCCCCTCTCCTCCCACCCCCCCCTCCCCCCCCTCCAAGTTACGCCCCTCTTATCACGACATAGTCGTGCCTACAACCGCCGTTTGCGTCTTCCGCGCCTGATACTGTTGCGCCCGATATTCCCGCGCCCAGAGCTGTCGCGCCTGTTACTGTCGCGCCTGCCATGCCCGCTGCTCCTGCGCTTGCAGCAGCTGCGCCCGCTACCACCGCGCCTGCATCTCCAGCACCAGCTCTGCCAGCGTCAGCCGTGCTATCAACCCCAGCTGCGGCAGAGCTAGCGCCAGCCGCGCCACCAGAGCCAGCCACGCCAACGCCAACCGTCCGCGCCAGCCGCTAGCCAGCCCGCGCTAGCAGCGCTTGTCGCGCCAGCTCGCGCCAGCAGACGCCAACCAACCAGCTCGTGCTAGCCGCTTGCCACCTCGTGCCACATGAGTATGTAGTGCCCGCGCTTGCGCCTGCCACTCCCACTCATGCAGCCATCGGGCCGCCCTCCTTGTTGCCTGCCATCTCCTCCACCTGTGGTTGTCTCCTATCTTTGACTGCAGCTGTACACCTGCTCCCGTCGTGACGACTGGGTTTGTTACGCAACTTGATGCGGATGGGGGGGCAGTCAAATTTGCAGCGTAGCTCCTCGACGCCAAGATGCTCCTGCTGAGCCAGCTTCAGGAAGACGTCCCCCGGTACTCCTGCCTGCCTGCCCTCCCCCTCCCCCCCTCCCGTCCTGCTGATCTTGCTCCTAGCGCCTCTTCGGAGGCAAAGAAGGAGAACTGCAATGCACAGCTTGCGTACACACTGTGGGCGTCGCGTAATGCTACTGCGCGTCTTACTATCAGCCACCTCTAACCACAACACGAGAAGGAGCAATTTCAGCGGCTTGAGACGGCAAATGAGTGTTCGGACCACATTGTTGCTCGCTACTCCACTCCCCCCTCTGCCTCTCTAGGCTGCCTCTTCCTAGATCTCTCGTTGTTGTCCACTGTTGGTGATCTCGATACCCACCTGCGCTTGCCTGACGCTAGCTACCGCGTAGTCTCCAATGCTGCAGTCCTTGCTATGCACCCTCCCCCCATGCATATCACTCTATACCATATCGCGACCCGCTTCCCTGACCGCTTCGCGCCTGCTCGGCGCTTTCGTTGTTGAGCACCCCACGAGCCTCACTGTCGATCTCTTTGAGACCCGTCTCACGGAGTTCAATACACGTTTACGCACCATAGCCTCCTCCACCGGAACGTAACTTCCCCCCCTCGTCTTGGAGGGACGTACGTCGTCCCTTCTTCCGTGTACCTTTCGCTAGCATTCGGTGCCACGTGAAAATGTCAGTCCCTCACGCCTTACCTGAGAAAACTCCGCCCACTCACGTTGTCCCCCCTCCCTCCTCGCATACCAACGAACTCTTGCGCTCTCCATCTGCACCCTTGGTGGATTCCCCTTCCGTGCCACTCGCACTCAGCCCGAGCCAACCAGCAGCTCCGACCAGAAGAGTAAATCATGCTCACTCTTCACAATATGATGCATTGTTTTAAGAATTGAGGAACCAAGCTGAAGGATAACATCGAATGGATATGAACTAGTTTATTCTTACGTGTTTGGGTTTCAATGAACTGTATATGAATGTGCTTGTGTTTCGCTATTTTACGTGTTTCGAACTTGAGCAAATCAGCAGGTTTGCTGAGCAATGAACAACCAGGGCCATTGGGATGAGAGAATATAATCCTGCCACGGGAAGCGCACTACAGTACAGCGTTATTCACGATGATGCGATGTGATGAGATGTGATGCGTCAATGTGGGACAGAGATAACAGTGAACGATGCCATTTTGTTTTTCCGGACACCCTGCGTGTCGTAATACACGGACCAGCCCAGCTGACTCGCGTAACGATCTACGCAGGGTGGGCAGAATTCTCCCCTAGTCAGTACAACAAGCCTAGAGCAGGGCTAGATTGAAGTCAAATGAGAAACACGGGGGTCACCCATGTCGGAACGTGTCATGCAGGGCAGGGAAAAGGACGTGTGGCGCAAGCTGGATACTTGGAGGGAACTATTGCTAATAAAGCTGTGTTTCACTGATCCTAGAGAAGGGCTGAAACATCGTGCGCTGAGGCTGGGTCGAGCGAGATTCTTTTGCTGGGGAAGTGCTGGGAGAAACTGAATGTGCAGGAGTTTCCTCGAAACAAATACCATAGGCGCAGCATGGTGGCATGGCACCGAACTTTATGATGAACCCTCATGCAAGTCACTTCTATTCCTTTGGTGGGCTGGGCTGGGCTGGCTGGCTGTCAGTCATTCGTTGAATGGTTCCTCTTTTCATCGAAACGTCGTGACCAGCGACTTTCCTCCCCTCAGTCAACAGCTCGACAGCAACTTTTGATACTGGCACGTGCTGAGATTCTTGGCCGTTGCAACCAAGGGGCCTGCTGCAAGGCCATTTGAGAAGGTAGGAAGGAAGTTGCGTAATGACCCCCACAATCCCCCCACCCCATCCCACAGCAGTGCAGATCACACGACTCTGATCGCATAGCGTCGCCTCGCCGGCTACAAGAGAAAATCGCAACCAGACTGGCTGCAGCACCCGAAACCACGATTGTCCTGAAACGCCCTCACTGGCCGTGCTTTCCTGGAAGAATGGCGTCTGTGTGTGAATTTCATCTCTCTTTTTGGAGTAGGGGCTGAACTTCAAACCACGAGACGTTCTCGGCAGCATTATATTTTGTACATTCTGGCTAGCCCTCACTGACGTTAGGTGACAGTTTGCATGCGGTTCTGCCACTAAATCACCGATACGCGAAAGTGCCACTGACCTGGGAGAAGTCCCAAAGAGATTCCGCGAATCAAATGCTTCAGTCAGCCTCGAATCGGATTCCTTCTTCAAGTGTGGGTTTTTCGTGGTTAATGGTAACATATATCTGCGCGAACAAGCGATAAGCTCAACGATGGAATGTTTCCCACAATGCAAGGATTACGACGCACACAAAGAGGACTAACGAAAGCATCATGCGAGCGAAAACATGTGCGATGCTCGTCCACCAGGCCTCCTCGCATTCGCTCCCACAGTTTGCAAATCAGCCAACCACAGTCCGTCGGCAACCCATCAGTAAGGCCACTTGGAGCCGCGCTATGGGACTACGTGAGCTAATCTACTTGCGAATAAAGTACCATCAATGCCGCTGCATTCACAACCAGCCAATCTGACGAAGTCTTCGTCCTCTACAATCAGTCACTATCTTGTTCCTTAGCGGTGCGCACTTCCCACCTCAGCAGCAACCGCTTGTGAGGAGGACAACTAGAAAGCCTCAATCCGACGTCCTCATTTGTCAAACGTTCTCGACCCTCCAAGCCTTATCGCAATTCTCAACGAAGCGAGTTGGGCGTAGTCACGTGGCATTTGCCGTCATCAGCCATAAACAATCCTTTCAGCTCAAGTACTGTACCGTAGCCATGGCCACTCTCCATTCTAAGAGTCTATTCCATTCTGACACCCTCAGCATTGTGTCGCTCAAAGCCCACTCAAACGAACCGCAGCTAAGTCCGAAGCGCCTAGCAACGTCCTCACTGTTATCACCAAACGCGAAGCGCGAAACAAAGGAGCACTTTAAGCGGGGCGAGATGGCCTTCGCGCCGCGCCATCATGGACACTCCAAGAGCCAGGACGCGCTGGTCGTTCCCGTGGAAGCGCAAGGTGTCGCGGCGTCGTCTCCCCGCATGCTGGATGTGGCTCAAACCGTAACTGCTTCGGCGAGCCGCGACCTAGACACTTCGGCATCATGCGCCACGAACCACGAATGCGCTGCGTCAATCTCTTCGCGGCTTGTTAACTGCGACCGGTTTTCCGTCCTCCCGGACGACCTTCTCGTCGAGATTCTTTCGCGACTCGGCGGGTCCGCTGCTGATGTCAGCGTCGCATCAATGACGTGTCGCCGTTGGAGAGCTTTGGCGAGACAAGTTCCGAGCCTGAGCTTCGGCGGTGCGGCAGACTCGCAACAATCATCCACGCGCTTCGAGGAGTCCATTTCTCGGATGGTGCTTCGCTCGGAATCCCTCCGCCAACTAAAAATCGTGACGCCGCTTCCAGCCTCTTCCCCTGCGCCGCGCGCTTGCGCCGCATGCGGAAGCGTTTCCGCCTCCGCCATCCCGCCAGCCTGCCCCTGCTTCGAGGAGACGGCGCACGGCGCGCACGGCGCGCACGGAGCGACGGCGCAGGAAGGGGATTCCGCGACGGCGAGCCACCCGCGGGAGTTCATCTTCGAGGCGTGGATGCGCCACGTGGGGCCGTCGCTGCGCTCGCTCACTCTCTCGCGCGCTGTTCCCGTTGCTACGTCCACCAACTGCGGCGGCGACGGGAGCGTGGTGGTGAACCTGTGGGAGGAGGAGGACGCGAGCCTGCATCTCGCGAACATTTCCCGCCACTGCACCAACCTGCGCTCGCTCTCATTGGGCCACGTGTCCCTCTCCGCGCCGACCCTGCTCGCCACTCTCCAGCCCATGCCGGCTCTGCAGCACCTCTCGCTCTCGTGGCTGCACGCGTGCCCCGCCGCGCTTCACGCCGTGCTTGACGCCGCGCCGAATCTCCGCCACCTCACGTTTTTCATGGCGTCGGGTCTTCCGCGCCTGCATCTGCGCCTTCCGCCGTCCCTGCAGCACCTCTCGCTTTCCTACATCCGCGCGGACTCCGTCACGCTTCACTCCGCGCACTCCCTCCAATCCCTCTCTATCCGCGACATGTTTCTCCGCTCGCTCTCAATCCGCGACGCGCCCAACCTGCGCCAACTCTCCGTCGCCTCCGCCAACAGCCTGCTCGTCTCCGCGCCTCACTCGAGTCGGCTCGCGTCGATCGACCTCCGTGCGGGCTCGCTCAACTGGGCCGCCACCGAAACCTTAATTTCAACCAATTGGGCTGCGCTCGAGTCGCTCTCTCTCGACTTTTTTGCGACCACCAACGCATCTAGCCTGCCCTCGGTTTCGTCGCTGCCCTGGCTCGCACGGAACTGCCCGGGGTTGAAAAGTTTGCGATTGGGTGCGCTGGCGTGGCAGAATATGGTTGACTCGGCTGCATTGTCGGGTCTTTTACTGCCACAGAGGAGTAACGACAATTTGTGGCCTCGGCTAGAAGCACTTACTGTGAGAATTGCGGAGAAGGCACCCGAAGGCCTGCTTTTGCTTCATTCGATTCTTTCTAACATCCCCACACTGATGGGTCTGCACGTGACTGTAGAGGGAGAGGAGGACGAGGAAGAGGAAGAGGAGGCGGAGGAGATGGAGTATGATGGGGATTGCGATGCAATGAGCATGGACGAGGATGAGGAGGAAGATGAGGGAAACAACATTCCTGAGGAGGCAAGTGACTTCTCACATACCCCCTCTGAAGCTTCTGCTTCACCTGGCATTTCAGGGGTGGCTGATGCTGCACTGGCCGAGCCCACTCAGCCTGTGGGTTACTGGCCTGCACTGACTGCAGCAGAGAGACAGCACCAGCTGTTTTTGAAGGGCCTGGACTGCCTCCAAAGGCGGTTTGGGTGCTTCCATGTTGCCTCCCCTATGCTTTACAGGCGGGAAACTGTCTGAGACTGATGAGGCAGGCTGCATGACCACCTAACAATATTGTATCTAAGGCTTTATATTAGGGCATGTGCTTGGTTATTTTTTGTCACCAATCCCTGTAAATTTACCGTATATTTCTCTCGTATTGGTGACAAAGTTGACCATCCCTAAACATGAGGAACATGGGCTGTCAACGCTTCTGAATCCTTTCCTTTGGCTCCCATGAACCGTGATGCAAAACTTTACAAAGAAACAACCAGTGGAACTCCCTAATCAATCTGGATTTCCCTTTTACGGATCCTCACAGCTCTCCGGAAAGCGACCCAGTCCATTGTTTGATCTTCCCCCACATTGCGACCTTCATCGCCTCCCTCGACATGACTTCCAGTAATGAAGATCTCAAGCCATGCTTGAAAAGCTGCATCCCTTTCAGCTTCTGTCTTGGAATGCCCAGAATATGACCGCGGCTGCAGAGTCAGGTCCGGTGACAACTGAACCCTGGTTGAGAGAAGACCAGTAGGAGTTTCATTGGTGAAATATTTCGGGGTGCTCAGTAACATGCGCTGGCAATCGACCTGGAGGATACTCTTGGCGATAGGCCTCGCGAGTTCTTCAGCTACTTTGGCAACAGTCGTCCCGTCTGCTGAGAGATTTTCGTCACAGCAAGAGGCCTTTCCCGTAATCGCGTTGCGAAACGCGGCTCGGTACGCGAGCTCTCGTGCACGACTCTGCTTTAATGTAGCCACAGTCTGATGTTTATAGGGATTAGGCGGACGAAAATCACCGAATGCTAATAGTCTCTGCAGCGATTCGACCATGCCACTGTATAGTTTGCCGCCAAACTCGATCTCGTGATCCCACACCAGACAGTGGGGAGGACCCATCTGAGACGAAGATACATTTACGGGTCGCCTAACGCCAAGCTTAGTCGCCAAATCAACGAGGAGCTTCTCAAACATAACGGCGATTCAGAGGATCAACACAACGCGAAACCTGACGAGTTGGCGAGGCCGTTCAACTCAATTATTAGAGGTTTATGTTCGGAGGCATCGTGAAAGACCAAAAGATTACAGGAAGAGACTACCCGAAGCGCGTCGCATTCGGAGGAGTTGCATAACCTTGCATAAGCGGAATTGCTGGGCGATATGCAAGCCTCCTGCTTTGAGAATACATCGACTCACAGGGTTCCCCGCCGCACAAACCGAATTTCAACTCGATACCGCTTTGGAACGTAAAACACCAGACACAACCGTGCTGTCTGGTGCGCTGGAAGCAAACACCTCCTCCGCCGAGTGACTGCGCATCGCCGTTTGGAATTCGGTTCGGGTCAATCGGGCTTCGGGGCTGGTTTGGTTGGTTTGGGGGGCTTGGTTCGTGGGGCAAGGCAGCTCCTGCATCAAGCCGATGCCTTCTCGACCCCTCTAGGTGTTCTCCTCAGTCCTGGGCGTGGAGAAGGCGTGGAGCAGCAGATAGATGAGCGCAGCGGAACAAAAAGATCCTACAGTGGCGAATACGATATTCAAAATGTGAGTTATACGCGCTGTATTTGTGTGTTCACGACCTCCAGCATCTAAGCTCAAACAGCACAATTTGAAGAGAGCAAAACACACGAATAAATAGAATCACCTACTGTGGAAGATCTGTACAGTGCATCTCTGTGCTGTATATCTTCATTTTAAAAAAAAATATTGCGATTGCCGTGGTATATTGAATATCACAAGTTTAAGTTCTTTCACAGATGGTCAGCAACAGATGCTTTCACTATCAAAGAGTCTTCACACATGAAGAGGTATCCACCCCCAAATCTAGGTATTAACACACTAAAAAAATCCACGTTGTTTACCAATAGTTACTTGAAAATTTGTCCAGTCCATTATTTTCTCATCTCCCACATTACACCCTTCGTCACCTCCCTCCACATGTTGTCCACGGATGAAGATCTCAAGCCATGCTTCAAAAGCTGCATCCCTTTCAGCTTCTGCCTTGGAACAATCAAGGCATGACCGCTGCACAGTAAGGTCAGGTAACAGCTCAACCTTGGTCAAGAGGGCTCCAGTGGGAGTTTCATCGGTAGAGTATTTCGGCGTGCTCAGTAACATGTGATGGCAATCGATCTGCAGAATTCCCTTCGCCACCGGTCTCGCGAGCTCTTCAGCCATTTTCGCGACAGCTGTCGCATCTGCTGTTGATTTTTCGCGACAGCAAGAGGTCTTTCCCGTTATCGCGCTCCGAAACGCGGCCTGGTACGCGAGTTCTCGTGAACGGCGCTTTTTCAAGGAAACGAACTTACTCTTACCAAACCGATCAGGCGGGCGAAAATCACCAAAAGGTAGGAGCCTTCGCTGCGCCTCGACCATGCCACTAAAAACTTTGCCGCAGAATCCGATCCGGTAATCCCACACCAGAATGTGGGGAGGACCCATCCCAGAGTTGGAAATAAGTACCGGTAGGCTGACGTCAAGCCTAGCCGCTACGTCAAAGAGGAGCTTTGCATACATGGTGGCGAGGAGCAACAGAGCGCGAGATTGAACAAATCAACAGGGACTCTCAAGTCGATGGATCTGGAAATTCAGTAGTGCGAGGCATGCTTGGAATTCCTCTCCGAGAGCAGTGCATATGAGGAGTTGCTCAAGTATCTGAATTGCCATGAGAAGGAGCGATGCGGTTCGGTATATTGCCCGTGGAAAAATGGTTTCTGCTATTTGCTGCTTGGAACCTCAATTCGCTTGCCCAGTTGATCCATCCCATGCATCCCAGTTTCAAGAGGTAGCATCAGCACAGCAGTCACACGTCAGGGAGAGGGACGGATACGAGGCGAGCGAAACCAGAAACGTGGGCAAGGTGTGGGAGGTGCGAATGACAGCAGGCGGACAGAACGAGGCGAACAATTGCGAAACATGTGCGATGATAGAAACCAATTCGATCTGGTACTGAAGACATCTACATCAACAGGTACCTAGATAAGTACAGCATTATAAAAACAGACCACACAAACATACAGGCCCGAATAGGAAGCCATTCATAATCTCCTACATTGATCTTGCCATCTACAGATCATAGATGGGGTCTCTGTCCTGGTGAGAACAAATCTCACAAACAAAGCTAGCACTGGACACCGCGATTTCTGCATACTTGTCAATGTGCCACGGGCAGCACCGCCAGTTGCAGCCCACACACGTCAACATGCGCGACGAGCACTGCTCCTTGGAACAAAGTGTACACCCACACATCACCCATCCCATCGACGCCAAATTCACCGCCTCCCTCTCACCAACATGGACCACCCCGTCCTCATGAGAACCAACCCCAACAGCTGGAGTAAGAGGCAAACCATGCAGTGCAGGGTCCTCCAGTCCTCTACCCATACCATCATTTGATTCCAAAATCTGGCCGGTCAGGTCTGACCCTCCAAGGGACTCCTGCTGTGCTGCTTGGTGCTGTGCTGCTTGGATTTGGCCGAGGGGCATGCACGTGTGCTTGGTGCAGGAGCCGCAGAAGATGCAGCGAGGGATGCAGCGCAGACAGCCACGACATGCCTGGGGGCATAACAATAATGGAGTGAGGGAAGAGAAGGGGAACAACGTGAGTCGATTGGAACTTTTGGTGACTTGAAAGTGATTCTTCGGATAATTGCTGTGCTGCTAAGTGCAGTGCTGCTCAAACCGGCCCAAGGACATGCAGAGCAGTGCTTGGAGCAAGAGCCGCAGATGATGTGACGATGGATGCAGGGAATAAGACACAAGTGAGCAAGACGACAAGATGGCAAGACAACAAGACAGTAAGACAACAGCCATTGCACTACCTGCTGCTTTAGGAGAGACCGCACGGTTGCTTGCACTTTCATGGAGGTTGAATCCTCAGCTACTCGCTCCAGATGCTGCCGCCACTGCACGCTAGTCGGGCAGTCCAAAACTGCCCGAATATTGGCACACCGCGGGCAGAAATCAATGTCCAGAACCGACGGGCAGGTCGAAACAATCTGCAGCCTCCTGCCCGGAAACACGCCCGTACTTCTGGCTTCCCCTGCCCGAACCAGCCCTTCAGATGCCGAGCCCCTCACAGATGCTCCATCCAAAGGCGCAAACGACAGCCCTTCATTATAGTCACATCCAGGATTTCCTGAATTACCGGACCTTTTAGCCATGCCAGCCTTATAAAGCATAGGATCTGTGAGAATCTGAGAACAGGTGCTGATGGGGGTGCCGCCGCTGCCGATGCTGATGGGTGTTCTGCTGCTGCCGAAGCTGCCTGCTGCTGCGGAACTAGGTTCGGAATCCGGACGTCTGGGTGCAGGGAGGCTGGCAGCTGCACGCTTGAGCATGTCTCGGATAAAGAGGAAGTCAATAGAGGGGCAGTCGGACCCTGCCATGCGCACCTGCCACAGCCGGGGAGTAGGAACTGGTGCTGCAGCTGTGGGGACTTGAGGTGGCATTTGAGTGGACTCAAAAGTCACCTCTGCAGAGGGGCAGTCAGTCCCTGCCATGCGCACCTGCCACAGCCGGGGAGTAGAAGTCGGTGCTGCAGCTGTGGGGACTTGAGGTGGCATTTGAGTGGACTCAAAAGTCATCTCTGTAGAGGGGCAGTCAGACCCTGCCATGCGCACCTGCCACAGCCGGGGACCGGGAGCCGGTGCTGCAGCAGTGGGGACTTGAGGCGGTTCAAGATTAGCAGATTGAGGAAACTCAGGGGCAGTAGATTGAAGGGATACAAGGGTAGCAGGTTGAGCGGATTCAAGGGTAGCAGGCTGTGTAGATTCAAGGGAAGAGGGTGGAATGGGTGGATGTGACTCCGGTAAGGAATCTGCTAGCAGGGATGATGATGCCGATGGTGCTCCTGCTGGTGGTGAAACCAGTTCTGCTGCTGGCAGTGATGGTAATGGTGATGCCTCTGGTGCTGGTGCTGTCGACGCTGCCAGCGCGCCCCACTGTGACTGTAGGAGTGTGACTATGTGGGACGAGGTTACATGCGCGCACATCCTCACAGAAAGCTGCACGGAACGGCGAGTGCCCGAGGAAAACGTGGGGGATGAGGGGGGGAGGGGAAGGGATGGGGAATCGGTTGCCGAAACATGATAATAACGAAATGATAAGTATAGAGAGAAGCAGGAAGCATGCGGCCTTCCTCCCCCACACACACGCACCTTCTCGAGCTGCTTGCAGCCTTCCTTGCGCTCCCAATCAATTTCATAAGCAAAATGTAACATGTCTAGAGAGAAGCACGAAACATGCACCTTTCGTCCCTCACACACGCACCTTCTCGAGCTGATTGCAGCCTGCCAGCACCGTTATAATCACATCGCCGCGCACGTCCTCCCCGTCCAGTACCACCTCCCTCAGCTGCCCCTGGGACCGCCGCGCGTACACCTTAAGAGCCGCTTCCACCAGCTTATAACGAGGCAGCGCTGCGAGTTGCTGAGGATCATCACCGCGCGTTGCGATTGGCCGAATTTCCCCGGTGGTTCTTGGAACCGCGGTTTCGTTGAGGGAAGCGGACACGTGGCGGTGGCTGATTGGGAAGGGCTCCACGTGGAGATGGTGGAACCGCAGCCAGAAACAGGGCGACTCGCGAATGGTGCGGTAGAGGGAGCGCGATACGCGCTGTAAGGCGAGGAGGTCGTTATAGAGCCGCACGTGCGGCAACGCGAGGAGGAGCACGGCCTCCCCGGAGTCTCCGCTTTGCCCGCCGGACATTGCGGAAAAAAGGTTGACTATCTAGGTTTGGGAAATTTATAGTTTCGTTAGGAAGCAAGAGGATGATCAAGAATCACGATGATTTAGGACTCGCGTCAGCTAGCAAGACGTCAAAGGTCCTATCGCTTTGTTATAGTGTCAAAAAAACTCGAATTGAGTGAGATTTACCAGGGTGACGGGTACGGACTTTCTAAGGGACGCCAGACTTTACAACTACGAAACGAAACAACTTGACAGACTGATAATCTCCGGGACGACAATACGACGAGTAACGGAGGAAATGGGGAATGGTAGGCCGTGAATTCGGAGTGGCTTGATGATGGCTGGACAACTAAATAGTTCCTGCACTGCTGAAGATATTCATGTTACGAAGTGGTTCATTGCGGTCCTTGTGCTTTTCCTTCGGTTCCGATGTCACAAACATATAACTAAATTTCTCCCCCCACGCGGCACTGCGGGCCACATAGCAGGCCAAGGAAACAAAACACGCGCTTGCGTGAGCAGACACGGTAAGGGATTTCCATTTGTACTAATACAGTACGTACGAGTACAGGGTGTACAGACGACTTGCAGTCATAGGTACGAATACTTGTGAATCACACATGTAGATAAGAGCCACGAGCAAAGTATTTCTTGTTGTGCGACTTGACAGATTGTTTGCCTTCTCCATCTTGATGTACGCTAAAGCGACCAGCACGAACTAGGCGCTGGGCATGAACTCATTCTATGGAAGGGTACTAGCCACCACCAGCTCTTCTCAGCTTCAATAAGTCTTCCTCCTGTGAAGCAAAGGGGAGGCTATATGGAAGCATCCAAACCGCCTTCTAAGGCAGTCGAGGCCCTTCAAAAACAGCTGGTGCTGTCTCTCTGCTGCTGTCAGTGCAAAGGGGTAACCCATAGGCTGAGTGGATCTGGCCAGTGCAGTGTTAGGTTCAGTTAGACCAGAAAAGGCGCGTGCGACAGAAAGTTGGGCGGAAGAGTGTGATGAAGAGCAGTTAGTCTCCCTGTCAATGTGGTATCCCTCCTCATCGTCCTCATCCTCATTGATGCCAGTAGCATCACAATCTCCATCATACACCGTTTCATCCATGTCCACTTCCGCTTCTTCCTCCTCCTCCCCCTCCTCCCCCTCTACAGTCACATGAAGGCCCATCAGTGTGGGGATGTTAGAAAGAATTGAATGAAGCAGAAGCAGGCCTTCGGGTGATTTCTCCACAATTCTCACAGTAAGCACTTCTAGCCGAGGCCACAAAAAGTCGTCATTTAGTGTACCAGATGATCCACCTTCCCACTGCGACAGTAGAAGACCCGACACTGTAGCTGAGTCAGCCATGTTCTGCCACGCCAGCGCACCCAATTGCAAACTTCTCAAACCCGGGCAGTTCCGCGCGAGCCAGGGCAGCGACGAAACCGAGGGCAGCCCCAATGAGCTACTGACGGCGAAAAAGTCGAGGGAGAGCGACTCGAGCGCAGCGGAATTGGATGAAATTAGGGTTTCGGTGGCAGGCCAGTTGAGCGAGCCTGCGCGGAGGTCGATAGATTCGAGCCGGCTAGAGTGAGGCGCGGAGACGAGCAGGCAGTTGGCGGAAGAGACGGCGAGTTGGCGCAGGTTGGGCGCGTCGCGGATGGAAAGCGAGCGGAGAAACATGTCGCGGAGAGAGAGGGACTGGAGGGAGCGCGCGGAGAGAAGCGCGACTGAGTCCGCGCGAATGTAGGATAGCGAGAGGTGCTGGAGGGAGGGGGGAACGCGTAATTCTAGGTGAGGGAAACCGGACGCCATGAAAACCGTGAAGTGGAGGAGATTTGGTGCGTTGTCAAGCACGGCGTGAAGCGCGGCGGGGGACGCATGGATCCACGAGAGAGAGAGGTGCTGCAGGGCCGGCATGGGCTGGAGAGAGGCGAGCAGGGTTGGTGCTGAGAGGGACACGTGGCCCAATGAGAGCGAGCGCAGGTTGGTGCAGTGGCGGGAGATGTGCGCGAGATGCAAGCTCGCGTCCTCCTCCTCCCACAGGTTCACCACCACGCTCCCGCCGCCTACATCGCCGCCGTTACCACCGCTGGTGCCGTTTCCGCGAGGGCGCTTCGCGGAATTCGTGACGGGAAGTGCGCGTGAGAGGGTGAGGGAGTGCAGAGACGATCCGACGTGGCGCATCCACGCCTCGAAGATGAACTCCCGCGGATGGCGGGGCGGGGGGAGCGGCGCAGATGCGCTTCTGAGACGGCAGGCGCAACTTGCAGAACCCCCTGGGAGTTCCGCCGACTCGGCGGAATGAGCGGGACTTCTGCCGAACAGGGTGCAAGGTCCGAGGCTTGGGGGGGCGGCGGAACTTGCGCTGCCAGTGGGACTCGGGGTATTCAGACTGGGACGTTCGCTGGAGTTTCCGTGACATCTGCGTGACGGCGTCTGGCTGGGGCACGGCCCTCCAACGTTAGCAGGCGGTGCGGGAGGCGAGATGGCGGTGAGGTGGCGCAGGGCGCGCGTGCGGAGGATCATTCGCGAGGCCTGGCGCTGATGTGGGAGTGGGGAGAGGGGGGAATAGAGGGCGGAAAAGTGAGCGGCAGAGGAAAGTCACAAAAGTATACATAAAAAAGTATACACAAAAACAGAAAGCAGAACGAAGAAAATACATACAGACGCAAAATTATAGGTCAGCCATGGCACAATCTGGCTGCCCAGCACTCACCTCAAACGTCAATTACGGCGGCTGGTTAGCAGCCGCGCCGCCGCCACTCGTTCTCAGGCACAGTGCAGGCATGTTCCGCGTCACTTCGTTCCACCGCCGACACGTCATCGCGGCCCGGGTGACATCGCGCACCGCGCTGCCCACGCGCGAGAGGACCGCGAGTAGCAGATCGTCGGGGAGACGAGCGAAGGGATCCATTGTCGATGAGTCGTTGCTGAGAATCCCCGCAGTCGACTCCGAAAGTCACCTTGGAAAGTCACTTCAGTGCAACTAAGACAACCGAATGACGACGGTGGCGAGAAGCAGTGTCTTAGCGATAAGTTAAAAAGAGCAAACGTCCCTCCTTTCGGAAAGAGAGTTTGCACGCCGCCTCCCCTAAGGCAGCCCGCTTTGCCAGTGCATGCCACTTTCGGGAACTTTGCGCGAAGTTTCGCGCGAAGTTTCGCAGCACGGGAAGCGCTGCGCGTTAGCATGCTCATCAATACCAAATCGGATCTGGTTTCTGTACAGAGTACTTGTTCCGTCAAAATACGACCTGTCGGCGCCGCTTTCACTGTCGCGATGCCACGTGACTGTACAGTCATCATTCAACAACTGATCAAGCATTTCTCGACCCACCCCGTGGCTGCGGGGGTACCAGCGGGGGTCCATTCACCTGTGAACGAAATTGGTTTGGCGGCAGTATGATAAGGCGCAACAACAGAGCTCGGTGAGTCAGAAGAGCGCCAGTAATTACATGAGCCTAATCGTAGTGTCCACATGAACCTTTCTGTACAGGTTTACAGGCGAGAGCAAGGAAAATAATTAACCTCAGATGGCGGTGACGTGAGTTTCTCGTCGAAGACTGCACAAAAACAAACCGATGAATACCGTATCGCCTACAGCAGCATTTCGGTTCACACGAGCTTGGTTTGGCCGATAAAATCTGCTGAAGATGCTTCGCAGCGTAGGACTGAACGACGTCAGGCTGTACTAACAGCTGTTAGGAGCTGATCCGGGTTTTGTCTGTTTGGGCCTTGTGAGGTGTGAGTGGGGGTGTGGAATAACGGCACCAAGATGACTCGAACAATTTTACAAGGGCGAGTTCATGATGCGGTGTACGGTAAGGCGTTAATTGCTCGTCCTTTGCTCAGACCACCTCATCGACCGAACTTGAGCGGGGAATGGTGCTGATAGCGGTACTGTACTTGCATAAAAGCAGCCAATGGAATTGGCGCTGAATTGCTAGTCCAATGGAATTGGCGCTGAATGGCTTGGGTTGGGTCAGGTTGTACGTAGTGGACTCGAGTCGCATTTCGTTGGACTCGATCGATTCGCCACGGGGTGGAGATGAGTGAAGGAGAAAACTGTACACGTACAGCACGCAGTTTGGCTGATACGAGTCGCGTCGAGTCGCGGAGCAATTTATCTTGAAATTTGGTAAAGGATTAGGAAGGGTAAATAGCAAGTAGAGAGAAAGAAAACACCTAGAAGAAAGAGTTAAGAGTGAAGTAAGACAAATTTGATAAGATAAAGAAACTCTTTAAGAAGAGATTGAGTAAGAACGTGAAGGCTTTAAATAAGAAGGTTAAAGATAAAAATGACAAATTTGAAAGAAAGATGATGAACACATTAAAGGGAAAGAACAATTGATTGAAAGAAAGATATTGAATGGGTGATTGATGAAAAGGTAAAGGAGCTTTAAACAAACTTGATAATGTCAATTAAGATTTGAGAAGAAAGGAGACTTGATAAGAATGAAGAAGCTTTAAATAAGGAAGCTTGAATTGAGAAGCTTGACTAGAGTGAAAAGAGGAGGTGACTTATCTTAAAGAGTCTTACTTGTCATTTGAAGGAGCTTTGTAACTTGAAGAAGCCAAGCTTGAATTGTAAATCTTGATTGTTGGAAAGAGAGTGAGATCCAAGCTTGATTGTTGAGTAGTAGATCTTGATTGTTGAGTGGAGAAGCACCTCCAAGCTTGAGTGTTGAGGTGTAGATCTTGTTTGTTGTGTAGAGAAGAACCTCCAAGCTTGAGTGTTGAATGTGAAGCTTGAGTCTTGATTAGAAGAAAGTCAAAGGTTGATGTTGAGGCCTTAAAACTTAAAATGCACTAGTCCAAAGGAGGTACATGATGGACTTAAAGAGCAACCATTGATAACAATCTAGTAGAAAGACTATGAAACATAAGCTTCTCTAGAGTTGGAGAACATGGCTATGAGCTTGGTTTGGGAGAGGTTGGTGATGAGTGGAGCCTTAGGAGTTGGGTATGAGGAGGAGGACTTTGAAGTGGCCTTGAGAGAGCTTGGAGTAGAACTTGTGGAGAGCTTGGGTAAAAACTTGCTTGAAAAGTATAAGTAAAGAATGGGGTGGACCCATTGTTTTGTATTTGGTGGAGCTTGAGGTTGGATGAAGGAGAGGAGGAGATGAATGATTGTGATTGGTTAAGTTGGATAAGGTGGGGGTGATGAATGTGGCCTTGAAGTGAAGGCTTGGTGAGTGGGATGAATGTGGCCTTGAATTTAAGGCTTGGTGAGTGGAATGAATGTGGCCTTGAAATTAAGGCTTGGTGATTGGAATGAATGGGGCTTTGATTTAAGGCTTGGTAGGGAATCTTTGGATTGATTGGTGGAGTTTGGGATGAGAAGGTTGAGGAGGATTGGAGAAGAGATGAGGTGGAGGATTGAAGGATTTGTATTGGGTGAAAATGGAAGTGTGCCTTGCTGACTGGAGATAAGGATGATGAAGTGGCGAATGGGTAATGTTGGTAGATGCCCTTTGCAGATTCGAATTTTGGCTGACGGGGAAACTGTGGCGAAAATTTTCGCCACGTGAATTTTTTCCCGCCACCCTGGTGCCACGCGAGCAGTAGTAGCAGTTCATTCCAACACCCCCCCGCACTGCTGACCCTCAGAGCGAGAAGAAGGAGCGGAAGGGACAGCAGTGGAGAAGCACTCAAGAGACTCGATCGGCATCAATCCGGCGCGGTGGCGGCCAAGAAGAAAGAGGTGCCGGGGAAGGATCTTAGTCAGGAAGTCAGCAGCCTGGTCCGTGGTGCTGCAGTAGGCCGGTGTCACAACTTTGTTCTTAATCAGCTCTCGAATGTAGTGATACTGGGTATCAATGTGCTTTGTGCGTCCATGATAGACCGAAAACCGCCGCGCGCCTCGGGGTGCACGGCGGGCTGAAAAACCCTAATTTCGACGCCGCGCACCACGGGGCGCGCGGCGGACAGAGAGTAGCAGTAGCAGCGGAAGCAGTGAGGTGGGGCCCACAGGCCAGGAGCATATCGCTCTAATACCATGTGAAGATAAGCAGTAGAAGAAGGCGCCATAGCTAGGTAAGTCCTAGCTAGGCAAGAGAAGTTTAGGCAAAAGAGGAGGTTGCACTAGCAAGAATGAGGATACAAATAGCAAACCCTAGAAGGGTTGTACTCGCTATAGAGCACCCCACTACAGGCTAGAGCATAATATTCTGACAGGATGCGTACATGATGCTACCGACAATGCTCTGGTAAAGATTAATGTCGAGGGGGGAAAGGAGTGATGAAGGAGGTGCGTTGGAAGAAGAAGGGGATGAAGAGGATGAAGGTGCAAGAGCCTCGTGGAACTCGTCCCAGTCAGAAAAGGGTTCAGTCTGAGAGGGCTGATGGTCAGAAGTGGAAGGGGAAGAATGCTGAAAAGTAGAAGGGAGAGGTGTAGATGCAGGATTGCAGGTGAGAAGGCCGAAGCGAGAGAGGACCTTGTGAATGTATCGCTCTTGGGAAAGAAATAGAGAGCGAGAAGGACGGTCACGAATGATGTTCATGCCAAGGTAATATGATGGCTCACCCATGTCTGTCATGACAAACTCCTTGGTGAGCATACCTTTGATGTGGGTGAGAAGGGAGAGAGAACCTGACACCATGAGGATGTCATCCACATACACTATCAACCACAGTACCTCATGCACCTCCGTGTACAGGATGTAGAGTGCAGGGTCATACTCAGACTGTGTGAAACCTTGGGCCAGCAAGGCAGACTCTAATGCGTGATACCAAACCCGTGGAGCTTGCTTCAGGCCATACAGTGACTTGTGCAGCCTGCAGACTCTCTCAGTACCATCGTGATACCCATCAGGTTGAGACGTGTAAATCTCCTCCTCCAAAACGCCGTAAAGGAAGGCGTTGGAGACGTCCAGTTGAATGATGTAGAGATCCATCCGTACTGCCATGCCAAGAAGAGCGCGGACACTGGTGTACTTGGCGACCGAAGCAAATGTTTCATTGTAGTCTTGTCCAGGAACTTGAGAATATCCCTTGGCGACCAAACGAGCCTTGAACTTGTCCAGGGATCCATCACCCTTCACCTTCACCCGGTAGACCCATTTCACTCCCACGAGCTTCTTTCCTTTGGGTAATGGCTCCAAAGTCCAAGTCCCCCTGTCGAGTAAACTTTCCAGTTCTGCCTTTTCCGCTGCTAACCACTGCTCCTTAAATGCTCCTGCCATAGC